CTCTCTCACCAGCATCACTGGCTTCCTTACCCCTTCATTGCTTTTTCTCTCATTCTTTTCTTCCCTCCCCTCTCCTCCTCCAAGGCCTGCCTGTCCCCTTGCTCCCTCCAGCCCCTGAGCCCTTGCATTTGTGGGTGACTCAGCCCTGGAGAAGCCTTGAATCCTCAGAGGGGTTTTGTGTGTGTGTGTGTGTGTGTGTGTGTGTGTCTGTGTGTGTGTGTCTTGGCTCTCTTTGGGGTGCAGAGTATCTGAGCTCCCAGCCGAGACCTGAGACCAAGGGGAGAAGAGAAGGAGGCTGGGTCTGGGACAGGTAATCTTCCAGAAGGAGCCTCTCTGCTCTCTTAACAAAAGGGGGACAGTCCCCTTTTGTCTGGGGCTTCTGAAGGGCGTGTCCAGGACCCAGAGCTGCCACCAGTGGCATTCAGGAGGAGGGGGCTGTAGGGGTGGGGCATGCCAAGTGTTTCTCCCGGAACCCAAGCGATTCCTCTCCGGGTGCCCCGCAGGAGGGAGGGAGAAACCTCACCACTCTCCCCCGGCTGCTCACCCAGGAAGGCCTTCCTCTGCAGGAGCAGGGTGAGGGGAGAGTGCTGCCTGGGAGTCCCTCAGCCCACCTGCAAGGTGGCTGGCCAGGCCACCAGCAGGGCAGGTGAAGGACAAATGGTGATTGTTCTCCTTCCCCGTTTCTCTCCTGGGAAGCTCCAGGTTGCTCCTCCTGTTAGGGGAGAGTTGAGGGGGCACAGTGGGTCCCCAGGCTCCACTGAGACACTCCACTGGTCGTCCAGGGACCTACACGTTTGTGTCCAGTCTCTCCACCATTCCATCGACCTTTGACCTCTCCCTTCATCCAGGATCTTGTCCTGTTTCCCTAACTTCCAGTGGAATCCTTCTACCTGTCATCTCCCCTGCCACCTGCCCAACTGTAACACCAGGATTCAGAATCGACCCATGTTTAGTGCCTGGCAGGGTGGTCTGTGAGAGGGAACATGATAGAATTTTTCAGGAGGCTCAAGTTGGCCATTTTCTGTTTGGTGTCCAATATTTAGTATGAATCAAAATACCAGAAAAACACACCATGCATAATATAAACTCACTTGTAGTTTCTACTGTCTCATCTTGACTTCATTTATTTTTTGTTTCATCTCGTCTTGAGATGAAGAGGCAAGGTTTGGTATCTCATGTTACTCAGTTAACATCCTTGGCTAATTGGACCAAAGGTGGTTATTAACGTGATGTTAATTATTGAATGCTACCCTAAGAGGCCTGTCTTGCAGTGACACCTGCCTCTTGCTCTCTCGCCTCTAACTGTTTCTCTCGGGCCGCCCATGACCTCACTTCAGGCCAGTCAGGGCCTGGCCTGGGGTACCAGGTGCTGGGTGGTGCCTTCCCCATTGTCTGGGTCCAGCAAGGGCTCGGGGCTGCATGTTCTGTTGGGGCACACCGCTGGCCCTCTTCCTCGAATCTTTCCGCTGGGCTTAAAGGCCACCGAGGGTTTCAGATGGGGAAGAAAGGTGCGAGAGTGAGCCGTGACCTTCTTCCTGTTGCCAGCTGAGGGCTGAGCCTCACCTGGGGAGAGGACAAATGTAGGAGCTGGTTTCTGAGAAGGGTCAGCCTCTCCTGGTTGGTGTTAACCTCCTCCTCCGCTCTTCCATTTTTTAAATAACTGTCTCCTCCTTAACTGCTTTACAAAGGCCTAAAGCTTGGCTGCTCCGGAGCCCATACCCAAAAGGACCCAGCGGAGACGTCCACACTCCTGGCTCCCCTCCCCCACGCTCCCCTTCCCTCCTGGGAGGAAGGCCCAGAGCAGGGGTTCCCCGGGGAGTGGGGAGTGCTTTCGGGTGACTCGGTTTCCCCAAGGCTGTCTCACATTTCGTGATAGAGCTCTCTTCTGCCTTGTTTCCTTTCTTAGATCCCTCCCTTCCCTTAGGTTTCTTATTTTATGCTCATATACCTTGCTCGGTATGGCTTGGGCCCTTTAATCTGAACAGGGCATAGGTGAGTGTTCACCCTCCTCCAACCCAGGAACTCTAAACAGAGCAAGTGGAGCAGGCAGAGCTGAAGAGTGCAAAGAACTAAGAGTTTAGGAGGTGGTGGTGGTTCGGGGGTGGCAAGGCTGGGAGTCTGTCCACCTTCCTGCCTTTGTCACTCCCCCTGGGGTTGGCTGTTGTGTCTGTGGCTGAGTGTAGTGCTTGTCAGTGCTGTGACAGGAGGCTATTTTAATAAACTTGCAGTTTCTCGATCGGAGCTGCACTGCGTTGGCATCCCTCTTCACCGCTAATGGAGCGTGTGTGGCTGGGTGTGGGCCGAGGGAGGCACCGAGCTCGATGGGGGCTGGGGAAAGGGAGGCCGGGCAGTGCTGGGGGCCTGCCTCCCGGCCCGGGAGTGCTCCGGTGAGCGCCGCCAGGCTGGGGGAAGGGGTGGCCGCACCCTGGGCGCCGGGTCCCTGCCCTGGAAGTGCTGCTGGCATCGACACTTTCCAAGCTCTCTTTCTTCTTCTCTTTCTATTCATAGCACGGCAGGCAGGCTCGTGTGTATGGCCGGGGAGGAAAACTTCCACTCGCCCCTGTGCGTCCCATAAATAAAAAAAGAAATAGAACCAGAAAAAGAGTGTGCGGGTCTTAGAGAAAGAGACTGAAACCAAAACACAGAGAGAAGGCGCAGCTGCTTTCCCCAAGGCCTTCTGGGGCTCCCTCCCGCCCGCCAGCCCGCCCGGAGTCAGGCCTTTATTTATTTATTTTTCTGGCTTTAAAAAAAATTCTATGTCTTCCTCAGTCCCAGTCCCCCTCAACCCCCTTCAGATTTGCTGGGTGGCCACTGCCAAATGGACCCGAGTAGGAGCCTGGAATGAAAAATTCATAACTGCTGGACTTTGCTTGTTCATTAGACGTGAACTTGTCGATTGGGCAAATTGTTTTTGGTCTCCAACTGCCGGGGGCTCTCCCCACCCTCTCGGCTCGCCCGGTTCCCTCCTCCCCTTGGACGCAGCCATTGGCTGCTCGAGGAGGTCTCATTGCCAAATAGGTGGATCCTTCTCTGTCTCCCTCCCCCCTTTCTCCCCCCCACCCTTTTTACTGGCTTTGGCACCAGCGAATGGATGGGGATTGAGCTTGAAAGGGGAGAGAGAGAGGGAGTTTGAGAGAGAAAAGAAGCAAAAAAAAAAAAAACACCCAGACCCAACCAGCGCACGCACACACACACAAACACGCACACACACACACACACACACACACACACACAGCCCCATCCACGTCCTCCCTCTCTCCCTCTCTCTCTCTCCTTCCCTCCCTCCCTCCCTCGCTCCCTCCCTCTTTTGCACGCTTCTGCCAGCGACGGTCTGCAGCCGGTCCGAACTCGTCCTCTTCCCCGGGAATCTGTGAGCTCCCCCTCTGCCTGCGATCAGGCTCAGAGGCGGAGGGAGGCAGCCCGAAGTTTACACCCCTGTGCCGCTGCCAAAGCCGAAAGCCTTTTTCTTCAGCTGCCGATTCCCCCCCACCCCCGTTTTTGTTTTTGTTTTGTTTTGCACAGGGGTGGGGTAGGGCGTGTTGTGTGTTGGGGGTGGGGTGGGGTGGGAGGTAGGTTTTTGACTTTTAAATTTTGCATATTTTTCTTTTATTTATTTATTTTTTAAAAAGCTGGAAGAGGATGCACAGGGGGTGAAACTGAAAAAAGAAATTTTTTTTGTTGGCTTTTGTTTACCTGGCATGTGTGGTAATCGACTCTCTCCCTCTCTCTGCTTGCTATCCCTGACCTTTCTTTTTGCTCCTTTAAAAAAAATATTAATTTCCCCCTTCTGTGCAGTGGAGCATGGGGGGGGAGGGGGAAGGGTTTGAGAATCCACCCAAGCCCGGCCCCTAGTCCCCAGAACACCAATAATAACCCCCTTTAAAACATTTACCTTCCTCCCCTGCTCCTCCCCCGCCCCCTCCCCCCACCCGCCCCCAACTCACAACTCTGTTGAGTCCAGAAGCTCAGAATCGGGCGTTGGGCTTTGCCGGGTGCTTCAGATCAATGGTAATTATTTATTTTTTTCCAGTTTTATTTTTGTAAACAGAAATCAATTATTATTTAAACTTCAAACAAGCAAACAAGCAAAAAAGAAAAAGAGGAAAAAAAAAAAAAACCAAAAAACAAAAAGCGAGAGCCCGGCCCTCTGTCACCTGACTGAGTGGGAAAGAGGGTGAAGGGGTCAGTGGGGACGGGGTACTGGATGCCCCCCGTAGCTTTTAACCCTACTGTGGCTGAGACCACCACCTTATTTGTGCTGACAAGAAGCGTTTTGTTCCTTATGACTGTGGTTAACATTAGTATTGGTGTCGATAACAAAGCTGAAATCACATATTTAGGATTTAGATCTGATTTAAAAAATGCTGGGGTGGATGTTCCAATCGGAGCAGAAGAGAGAATGAAAACAGCCTGGGGAGGGGGAAGCCAAATCCTTCTCCTGGCTCGCTGACTCGTGGATGTCATGTTCGCTCTTCTGGGGGTGGCCAAAAACCTACCGGTGTCGGGGCGTGAAGCGGCCCTCGCCTGCCCGCGTGTGCGTCCACGGGCATTCGTGCAGACTGGACTCCGTGCCGGGGCGAGCTGACACGAGTTCGAGACTGCATAGAACATGGAGATGTCATGGGCGCGACGGAGCCTGGCGGGGATACCAGCAGCGTGTGTGTGTGTGGACGGCAACGTTGCCTGTGCGCGCGTGTGTGAGTGAGTGAGGGAGAGAGAGAGAGAATAGGTGTGTGCTCAGGCTCTGGGTGTCTCTGTCTGGCTGCTGAGGCTGAGATGGGAGCGAGCGGCAGGCTAGGCTGGTGGCGGCTCCAGACCACACTTTCCTAGAACAATTGCAAGAGAAAATTGTCGTGGGGGGGGGGAGGAGGAGGAGAAGGCGATTTTACTTGTGCCCCCTTTCTAACGCTTCTTTTCTCCTTTTCTCTTTCCCCCCTCACCCCGTCTTCCCCTCCTCCCGTCTCCCCTCGCCCCGCATGCTCCCGGCTTGCCGCCTGCAGGATGAGTTCCACCCGTTCATCGAGGCGCTGCTGCCTCACGTCCGCGCCTTCTCCTACACCTGGTTCAACCTGCAGGCGCGGAAGCGCAAGTACTTCAAGAAGCACGAGAAGCGGATGTCGAAGGACGAGGAGCGGGCGGTGAAGGACGAGCTGCTGGGCGAGAAGCCCGAGATCAAGCAGAAGTGGGCATCCCGGCTGCTGGCCAAGCTGCGCAAAGACATCCGGCCCGAGTTCCGGGAGGACTTTGTGCTGACCATCACGGGCAAGAAGCCCCCCTGCTGTGTGCTCTCCAACCCCGACCAGAAGGGCAAGATCCGGCGGATTGACTGCCTTCGCCAGGCCGACAAGGTGTGGAGGCTGGACCTGGTCATGGTGATTTTGTTTAAGGGGATCCCCCTGGAAAGTACTGACGGGGAGCGGCTCTACAAGTCGCCCCAGTGCTCGAACCCCGGCCTGTGCGTGCAGCCACATCACATTGGAGTCACAATCAAAGAACTGGATCTTTATCTGGCTTACTTTGTCCACACTCCGGGTAGGTTGCTCTCAATCCCCCTTTCTCCCTCCGCCCCATTTTACTTGCTGGCATTTGTTCTGTTTATTGTACCTCTTCCTTCCAAGGGATCCTCGCATGTACACACCAGGGGCCTAACTGGTGCACCCATTCTGCTGAGGCCTGCAGCTCGTTTGATGTTCCCCTTTCCCGTCTGTTTCCCTTCACTTGCTCCGTTCTTCCTCCTTTGCTCATTTGCCATGTTACTGATTTGATTTTCGTGCTTCTACATCTTTGGAGGACTCAAAAGACGCTGCAGGTCCTAGGACTAGGGCCAGGACGCCCGTGAATTACCCGCGATGGTGAGAGTTTGTGAGAAACACCACCACCATCACCAAAAAAAAAAAAAAAAATCTCTCCTTGCTCGATTTTAAATGAATCAGAAAAAGTATTGGGGAGCAGGTACAGGCTTTTCTGCAGCTTCCCCTCAAGTCCTGGGGAAAAGCCAGATTTGGCACAAGCGGGGTGGGCAGTGGTTCGGTGGAGAGAGGGGCGTGTAAAACCCTGGGATCTGAAACAGAATGAATAGAAAAGAGGAAAGAAGGCAGAGGCGGGCAGATTCTGGGGCCCAGATGCCCAGGCGGGAGCTGTTTTGGCTGGGATTTGGCTGACGGAGAGGAGAAAAGTCATTCGATTTCATAGAGAGTGAAAATGAGCAGAGCTCCCTTGCGCTCTTCCCCTTTCCTGCCCCTTCCCCTGCGAGTCTCAGCTGAAGTAGTGAGACCCCCCGGGGTGGATGCCCCAAGCCCCAACACCTCTGCTGGGGGTGAGGGGGATCAGGCAGTGCTGTGGAAGAGGTCTTAAAGAAACAAACAATCAAAACTCTGTAAAATCTCCTTTTTCTTTTGTGTTCCAGATAGTTCCACCTCTCTCTCCTCTTTGCTTTTCCAATTTCACCCTGCATTTTGGGTTGTGGTGGTTCAGTTCTCCTCTGTTCTTTTTTTTTTTTCCCCCTCCCTACCCTTTCCCTTTTTATAATTTCTTTCCGCTTTTGTTTTCTTACAAATTGAAACAGAGATGGCTGGTTAATTTTTAGCCTCCACTCAGCTACGCCCAATTTACTGCCGCCTTTGAAACCTAAACGGGCGGCACTCTGTGATTAAGCAAGGCAGAAGTGTGTTTACATTATGCCCAACCAACTTGTAATGAGAGGGCTACCAAACCTTTCTCTTTCTGTGTTTTTTTTTTCCTTTCCACCATTCCAACCTTTCCCCCTCCTTTCCCCCCCTTCTTTCTCTCTTCATGCGAATGTAAGAGAATGTGGCTTAACTTCAACTCTAGTGAATGTTCTTTCTCCCGCAAATATGTGTGTGTGTGTGTGTGTGCGCGTGTGTATCTTCCTTCCTGTTCATTCACAAAAAAGAAAAGCAACTCACTTTTCTGCTGTGGTTACCCCCTTGCCTGTTTGGGATGTTGGGAGGAGAGAGATGACTTAATCTAGAAAGGAAATTTTGGGGCACTTTCAGTATTGCGTCAGGATTGAGGACTCAACTCGGATTAGCACTAAGAGTTTATATATTGGGAAACTCAGGAGGAGGAAAAGGTGATATTTTAGGCCTCTCTTCTTGCTCATTCTCTCTTCTGAGAAGTGGCTTTGGTGGTTGGATGGAGGCAGTGGACACCACCCCCCTCCACCACCACCCCCCATTGTATTTCCCTCTGTGGACCTTTCTAGGCCTGTACCTGGCCTTGTGTGACTATCATAGCCCCCTCACGAAGAATGGCCAACTGCTGGTCCTCTTCCTTGTTCATCTATTTTCTTTCTGGAAGGGAGATCAAAGCAAAAATTAAAAGTTATTCCCTGATTCTCTGTCTGTGCAGCAAATCAGAATGGGAGGTAGTGGTATTGGAAGTGGGTTGGGGCAGGCTTGAAGACCTGAGATTGTGTCTGTCAGATAGCTCCTCTTGGCGGTGGGGGGGGGGGGTCTGTACCTTTCAGTTTTGGATCTAGGGCCTCTAAGGTGAAATCAGTGCCCATCTTCCTCCTGAGCCAGCTTCCTCTACCTTGATCTGTAGCTGGATCCTGTAGCAGAGCTGTTTCCCTGACTTCTTTTATTTTAGGTTGTATTTTTTACTGCTGTTAGCAAGGGGCCAAGGTAGGGTGAAGTATGTGTGATGGAGACCATTTCCTGACCAGCCAGATGGCTCCTGGACTGACCAGACAGGTGTAAGGAGAAGGATGGCACCCCTACTTGCCCGCTAGACATAATGAGAAGATTTTCCCAGGAATATGAGTAAATCCATGCCCATCACATGTAGTTGTGGCCCCTCTGTCCCAGCTGAGGCTGAGTTCCTTGACAAAAGCTGAGTGGAGAAATGAGGACGTTTCTTATAATTTGTCCCCAGTTCAGGTCCCTGGACTCCAGATAGTTTTCAGGAATGTAGGAATTTTGTTGCTGAAATTACTTTAACTCGAGGGCACCTTTCTGAGGGAGTGGGGGTAAGTGGATATGGTGTGGCCTACCCATGGGCCTTGGGTAGATGGCTTGAGATTGCATGAAGTGGTGGGCATGGCTTTCTCTCCAAACCACTCCAGTTTACTCACAAAGGTCTTCTCCTGGCTGAGCCCCCAAACAGTGCCAGTTCAGTAGTACAACCTTCCTCTTCCATGTCCATGCGAAGATCTACTCAGTAGGGTGTCACTTGTTCCTTCCTTCCAGTATAAACCAGGGCTGGTGGCTGGGGCAGCAAGGGCTCAGACAAGGGTTACTTTAGATTCTAAAAGAAATGCTGTCCTTCCCTTCAAATGGGCTGACGAACCTGATCTGGGTTGAACTGGTGTGCCAGGTTTGATGACAAGCAGACTTGTGATGGTAAGCTTGGGGGTGTGGCTTCCCCTGCAAGCGCCATTGTCATCCATCATCCATGGCCCTTGTGGGCCCTTGTTTTGTCTCACGTGAAGCTTTAAGAAGTGGCATGGTTGAGAGGGACTAAAGGACGAGTGTATGTGACATCAAGAGCCCCACTCCCAGAACACAGGGTCCTAAAAGGCCACTCAGAGTGTTTTGCACCCTTCATGAGGGTGGCCTTCCTGCTGGGTACCTTTCCCATTCAGGAGGGGATGTTGAAGCAGAACTGGGTCAGAGAGTACTGCCATGGGAAGGAGGTTGTACATTTTTGACGTTGTCCTTCCATCCAAAGGGGGTGTCCCAGGGCAGTGGCTGGAGACAGAGGGGGACCTGGGGCCAGGTGGAAGGATGCTTGGGTAAGGAAGGGTGGCTGAACTGGTCTGGAAGCATGGCTATACTCTCCCCAAAGCTTCTGCAAGAATCTGAAGGTAAACGGGCATCTTCAGACCATCCTTAATCTAGGCCTCCATTCTAGAAAAGAAAAAATCTGAAAGTAATAAAATGCTTTACTGAATAAAAACGTCAGCTTCTCCCCGTCAGATCCCTCCAACAGGCCCGCAGTGGAGGCCCATTAAGTCCAGGTGTTCAGGGGGTGGCTCTTTTCTTTATCTCTGCTTTTTCACTATGGAGAAATTTACACATAGAAGGAACTCCCATCACCAGTGCCAGTTTGTGGCTAGTTTCGATTCATCCACAGCCCCTGATGCCCACCTACTCTGGGTTGTTTAGAAGAAAATCCAGGCCTTATAGCTTCTCCTGTGTTAATATTTCTGCACATGTTTCTAAAGATAAAGATTCTTGAAAAATGGAAACATAATATCACTCTCACACTGAAAATGATTTCTTTGGCTGGTCAGTGTTCACATTTCCCTAATAATCTCCAAATTTTGTTTGTGTAGATCAGGATCCTGATCAGGTTCATGCACTAAAGTGGGTTGCTCTGTCTTGGAAGTCTCATAAGCTCTAGGCGATCCTCCCCCTCTTCCTCCTTCTTCATATTGGTTTCTTTCCTGGCAGTTGTTGGGTTGTTGTTGTGGAAGGGACCTGATGATTTCTCCTGTAGAGTTTCCCTGTCTGGACTCGGCAGGCTGTGTTCCCCTGCGTTGATCAATGTGCTGCTCTGAAAGGAGCTTCTGCCTCCCTCCTTGCCACCAGGTCTGGGGACAGCTAGGCCTTACCTGTCTCAGGAAATGGATTAGCACCCGAGGATCTGTCCAAGTGAATTTTCTCAAGTGCAGAGTTGCCCTTCTCGGTGTAAGAGCTCCCTGGCTTTCACTGTCTGCTTCAGAGCTTGGGCTTTCCAGTGAGCGCGGGTTCTCTGGCCCAAGCGAGGGCTTCCTTGGCAGCGGAGGGCCTTCCTTGGCAGCGGAGGGCACTGGCCGGCCATGTCAGCCCTGCTGAGATGTGGTCGGGGCTAGTGGCATCCCCCAAGCCTCTGCTGGATGCCTGGCCCCCTCTGGTGGCCCTGGTGTGAGTGCATGGGAGTGGCCAAGGGCACACCAGCTGCCCTCTCCGGAGGCCTTGCTCCTCCTGAGGCTCCGGTGCCTCTTCACCCATGCCCAGAAAGGCCGCTGGTCTGTTTTTGAGGCAGCGCCATCTGGTGCCAGGGCTGTTGAAGACTGTGTAGCCTGGTTACCAGATTCCTAAAACCAGCAAGATACACCCGTGTAGGGTTAGGTGCCTTTTGAGAGTGTCCCAGAAGAGATGTCGCGGTGGTTCGAGGATCAGCTTCCGTCGTCGTAAAAGTCTTCTGTTCAGCTAATTCAGAGGATGGTTAAAGGGACTGAACCAGCTAACACATAAAGGTACTGGCACATAGCAGGCAAGCAGTGGATGACGGCTGCTGCGATTCTGATGTTACAACTCCCTGAGCCCTAGGACATCTCCCTGTCACCTTTACCTATTGGTTTTATTTCTGCCTTAAGGGTCGAATGAGGTGAGAGCTCATTTTTCTGTAACACAGAAGTGTTTCAAGTGCTGGAGACAGGGCTCACAGTTCCTCTCCACCCCTCTTCCCAGGAAGCTGTCGCTTCTCCAGGGCAAACGCTGCCAGTCTCTCACGCCTCCCACATTTGACACAGCTCCTTGCGCACTTGCCATTTTGGTCATCACCCCCTGGAGGCCCCCTTAAAC